CGGCACCCAGTCCGCGCACCTCACGCCTCCCACACACACCCTATTATTCTTCCTCCACCTGCTCACGCGGCCCCCCCGCCGATGGCCCCTTCCTCGCTACAGGCCTTAATTTCCCACTTTTACCCGTGGTGGTCGGCCTGACTCCATGACCATGTGTTATATCCCCTCAATTTTATACCTTCCTTACGGTAAAATATAAATTCCCCTAACATTTTCAGTGAATTTCACCAAATAAAACGATCTGATGTGTGTGCATGTGTTTTTTACAGAATATATTACCACTTTCTACAACTGATTTCTCTTCTCTTAAACTTGGACCACAGGCTCTTTTCTACATTTTTAAAGCGCCGTGTTGCTCTTCCTGAAATGAGTTTGGTGCTTAGAAATCTGCAGCGAGCTGTGCCCATCAGGAGGGCGCCCCTTCGCAAGAAGATGGAGATTGTGAGGAGTATATTAGGGGTGCAGAAATTCGACCTGGGGATCATCTGTGTTGACAACAAGAATATTCAGCACATCAATAGAATCTACAGAGAGAAAAACATCCCAACTGATGTGCTTTCCTTTCCATTTCATGAGGTAAAAAGTATTCTCTTGTCTGGCCTACCTGCTGGTGTAAACATTCTGATTTTTAAGTTTCATTTTGAAAACTTTAAGATACACACATAAGTAGAGTACAGCAGGAACAACCCCTTTTGACCAATACGCATCGCCCAAGGAGAAAAGGTAGCTGGGTCCCCCAGCCCTCGTAATGCTGTCAGTGAGTTAAAAGAGAAGTAGAGTGCCTCTGCAATTTTTTTTAAGATTTTTTATTTATTTTTAAGTCATCTCTACACCCAACGTGGGCTCAAACTCACAACCCCAAGATCAAGAGTCACATGCTCCACCCACTGAGCCACCCAGGCACCCCTGCTTCTGGAATTTTAAGTGTGATTCAATAACAAATATGTATGGTTGAAATTTTTAAGTAACACTGAATTTTTTCACTGAAAATGAAAAATAACACTGAAAACTATTTTGGACAACTTTAAGATAGTGATGAGGTTACCCCCTCCACGATGCGCAGGGCTCATTCGAGGCTTCCCACACTGCTAGTAACAGCATAAACGGGAAGGACCCTTTTGGAAAGCACTTTGGCGGTACACTTGAAGAGCACCAGAAACATGCATGTACTGTGTAATCCATTAGTGTCACCGCTAAGGAAGGAAGATGTTATAGTATAAAGGTCTTAAATATTCACTTGGTATTTTTTTCTAATAGGAAACATGTTAATACCCTAAATATCCGTCAGCTTAGTGTGAACAGCCCTCAGATGAACGGACTGGTTGTTTCTTTTGTTTTATGTGGGAAAATGTGGAAGACTGTTTAGGACAAAATAACAGAAAGAACAGAAATATAAAATCGTACAATGTAGATCTGTGTGATCTGCACTAAAAAGGTGAAAGAGACAGAGGAAAGCAGCTCGTTTGTCTTAGGTCATCTGTAAAGAGTGGCTCCGCCGTCGTCCCCCCACCCCTCACCTGCCCTGGGACTACTGAGTAGGGATCTTCCAGAATGAAATCTGTAGGCCTGCCGTCAGGTTAGTTCCTGAGGTCATGTTCTCCAAATCTGTATTTCCTCATTTCCAGAATATAAAAGCAGGGGAACTTCCCCAGCCTGATTTTCAAGATGACTACAATTTGGGTGACATTTTCCTAGGAGTGGAGTATATCTTCCAGCAGTGCAAAGGAGATGAGGACTACTATGACATCCTTACTGTGAGTGAGATGCTGAAACAAACAGGCCCTGAAAAGAGGGCCATGGATGGGACGCCTGCCTCCACTGTCTCACATGAAGGACCAGGGTTATCAGGGGAGGGAGACCTACAAGCAGGGACACCAAGGACACTCCATCATCCCACAGAGAGAGAGCGAGCCTAGGCCATGGGCCTGCTTGCCCCCAGCACTGTCGGGTGAGGGTAGAGGACAGGAAACAGGTCAGGAGCTCCCAGGAGCGCCTTGTTTTTAGCTTTTACCCCTGGAGCTCAGCAAGCTGTGTTTAGCTAACTCAGATCTGCTGAATAGACCCCTTACAACTGTAGCCTCCAGGACCTTCCAGATGTGTCTCTCCTCAACTTGACGGCAGAAGAAAAGGGGGAGGGGTGTTCCGAAAAGCGATTGTATCTTAACTTTCCTGTGGATTCTATTGAAGTGTTTTCCTTTGACTAAACAGCCACACCCTGAACTATCTTTAGGGGATCCTGGTGCTTCTTTGTGACTTGAAGCAGAGCTTCTCAGGGAGAGCCATGATGAGCAGGCAACAGGGCCTGCTTCCTTGGTGGGACTTTCTGGGAGGAGGAGGCTGTGCTTTCTTCTTGAGTGTGGCAGGAGCCCTGGCAAGGACAGGATTGCTCAGCATGGGCTTTAGCTCTGGGATCTCTGTGGCCAGCAGCGGTGCACCCCTGTGGGGCTGTTGTGCATCTCTGCTTCAACCTCCACCTCCCAGAGATGCCATTACCTGCAGTGGAGGCCAGCCCACCAGGCCTGGGACCTTCTCCTCCTCGCCCCCAGCTGCGTGTAGGCACCTTTTCAGCCCCAGGTACCCTCCACCTACCCCTAGGTTCCTAACTTCCCACCATGCATGGGCTGACTTCTCCCTGCCTTCCCTCCTCCTCCCCCCCAATACTCCCCAACCCCTGGCCCAGGGATTGGTCGTGATCAGTTCCTGAAATAGCTTTTTAATTGTTCTGACAGGTGACTGCCACCCATGGGCTCTGTCACCTGCTGGGCTTCACACACAGCACAGAGGCGGAGTGGCAGGAGGTAGGAGCTGTCCTCCGGGCCTCCAGCACAGAGGGTGCAGTGCCCCATGCGCCAGGTGCCCAGGAACCAGGGCTGCCTGAGCTGTCCCTGCAGTTGAGTACAAAAACCAAAATGGGGGGGGTTGGGGGGAAAGCAGTAAATTAAGGATTTTATGAACACCTGCTTTATAAAAACAAAACAAAACAAAAAGACTAACATTGTTTAAAATATCGGGCTCCCCAAAGGCTACTAACTGTATTACTCGCTGTTGAAAGGAAGGGCTGAGCAGAGAGCCTGGATTCTATAAATTCTATAAAATTCTAATGGCTTAAAGTCAAAAAATCTTTACAAGAGAAATTGTGATGATATTTATCAGGTGGGAACAGGATTCGGAACATGCAAGCATCTGATAGAGACCTACAAGCTAAAGTTATTTAGCTGTTTGTTTCCCTGAGAAGTGACAATATTTACCCCATTTATAAGCATATATGTTGGTATATGCACCATATTATATTTAATAAACTCAAGTTATATTTGTAATCAAATAATCAGGCTCTCTGGAAGGCATAAATTTTTTTTTCAATTAACAAAAAAGTCCTTGATACAGTTGTCCTCACACCCAGCCCATCTCAGGCTGGATCCCCACCAGGGACACCGTGGCTCAGCTTCCTGTCCAAGTGAGAGGCTGACCCTGCTGTGGCCCCCTCACCCCCCTCTGGCAGCATCTCGGAGAAAGCCCATGATGTCACTTCCAGCAGGGACCCAAGCCCTCCCAGGGCTTCCCCATCCACCTTCCCCAGGCACTGACCACTCTTTCCCCCAGGAGGGGCTGTCCTCACGCATCCCCCTCCCATGGACTCTTGGCCCAGCTGACGTGTCTGGCCTGTTCTCCTACAGCCCCAGACAGGGTCTCCTCTTCTTTTACCCAAGACCACTCCTTGGGCCCCTGGACCCCAGTCCTCTGCTGGTCCCACCCTTCACCTCATAGGCAGCATGTCCACATTCCATGTGCACAGTGCTGAGTGAAGGTGAGCAGAACCAGGTCCTGCGCTTTGGCTTTGGGAGGCCACACGGCTGAGGATCCTCATGCCGCAGCCATGGACATGGGCTCTGGGGAAGGGCTTCCCCCAGAGGACACCCCTGGGCCGTCCAAGTTGGTTTCCACTCCTTTCTTTCAGATGTACCAGAAGGAGAAGCAGGTTCTCGAGGAGCTGAGCCGGCGCACCGGGACCAGGCTCCAGCCTCTGAGCAGAGGCCTCTTCTGATGATGCTGGAGGCCCAGCAGCCGGGTGGCACCCAAGGAATTCTCCAGAGCACAGAGACACCATGTGAACAGCAGATAGACCCTCCCTTTCAGGCCCTGAGGACCAGGGACTCCACCAAACTGAGGGCCCTGCTGGTCACTGCTGCTCTGTGGGGCCACAGGAGTGACACAGACTCAGGGGCAAAATTACACAAGTGGAACCTGACTGTTTTGTGAAAGTATAAAAGAAATGTGCATTCCTTTCTTCATTTAGAACCTAGCAAACATATTTTCAGTATTGCAGATAAAGTAGTTCTAAGCTCTTAGGATGCAGAGTTGGAGCACAGGACCTTCATCCCTTGGGGTTCTGCCTGTGGCCAGAGCATTTGTCTCTCCTGCCTCTGCAGCCTGCTCCGGAGAATAGAACAGGCAGCCCAGGGTTCCTCCTTCCTACAGGAACACCGTTGGCTTCAGTCTCCACCTACCCTCAAGAGCACTGTGACCTGGAACCTTCGCTTGGTGCCTTTATGAGGGAGGGACAAGGCTGACCCTTAGGGTGGCTGCAAGGCCCAGGACAGCCTCAGCCAGGTGACCCACAGCGGACATCTCCTGCCCGTCCCAGCTCCCGAGGCAGGCACAGCCCCTGGTCAGGGGTTTGCTTGTGGACCCTACCTAAGTCTTCCTTCCCGTGGCTGGAGTCCTAGAACCCTGGATCCCCCTGTCCACCCGCTGAGCTACGTCTCCTGGCTGCAGGAGGCGCCCTGAGCTCCAACTGCTGCATCCCATCCTCTTTGCCGTCAGTGTTTCCTGCCTTTTCTTCTGATGCTGAAGTAAACGCAGGAGGCATCACAGAGACTTACCCAAGCTGTTTCTGGGCCCAGGGCATCACGGGAGCAGGCCACACGCGCTGAGCCGACCCCAGGCCTCCCAGGTGCTGGCAGTGGAGTCAGCAGCACCCCGAATTCTGCCAGGGAGCTCTGAAGAGGTCACGGCAATGAAACGCAGCCTCTCAGAGACTCTGTGGTCCTAAAAGCAGGGATACTACAATTCTGAGAATCTGGTTTCTCCCATGAATCCACTTGAAAGACATGAAAATGCATTTCCCACTGGATTTATCGTCAGCCTGGACTTTCCCAGGCCCTCGGGGACACAGAATTGGGCTTGTGGCACTCCTGAAGCCTTGGGTATGCATGCCTGCTTACAGTGAAGCGCGTTCTCGGCAGAAAGTCTCAGCAAAGACCAAAGGTGACCCTGCAAAGCTCTTGGCTCTGCAGTTCTTTTTAAGAGACTGAAGGGATCCCGAGACCTGCTACGCCTGTCAGCAGGAATTTCGGACATCCCCCATGCCTCTCTGGTCATGTCGGGGGCACAGGCAGAGTTCTCCCTGGGTATGGGCCTCAGAGCAGAATGGCTGGGGGGCTAGGGGTGGGGTATCCAGCTTTATCAGGCAATGCATAGTGCTTCCAAAGGACCTGATTACTTGTCCCCCCCTGCAGCCCATAGCAGTGACCCTGGGATCCAGACCCCAACCCCCATGCACCCTGACCCCTCCCTTGATCACGTATCCACTGAGGCTGTCCTGCATTTCTCATCACCATTGCATCCCCTCCACTGTAACTGCTTGTCTTATGCTCAGTTTCCTTTTTTATTTTTTAAGATTTATTGGGGGTGGAGGAACAGAGAGAGAGAGAGAGAATCCCAAGCCGACTCCCCACTGAGCAAGGAGCCCAACCGACAACGGATGACATGGCCTCAGCCTCATCACCCTGAGATCATGCCCTGAGCCAAAATCAAAAGCTGGCCACGTAACCGACTGAGCCACCCAGGTGTCCCTCATGCTCATTTTTCTATCGATTTTTCTTTTTTATGGATTCAGAGGGGTTCTTACATACATTGAACACAACAGAGCACGTCAGGCAGTGTCCGTCTGACCTAAATCTAAGAAAAGTCCTCCCCACCCAGCCATGGAGCTCTGCCTTGGCTATTTGATTCCACCTGTCACTTCTGTCCGCCCCGACCTGGCTACCATGCCCCGGTTCCAGAGCTTCTGCAAACCCAGCCTCTGCCAGGGTTGGTCCCTCCTCCTGCTCCAGGGGTCCCTTGGGTTCCTTGGCCCTCTACACTCCTGTGTGTATTCAGAAATGCAGTTAATCTACCTCAGGCCTACGTGAGGAAGCCCCCATAAATCCCAACAGCACGGGGTTCAGAGAGCTTCCAGGGGGGTGCACACGTCCACACGGTGAGGGTGACGCACCCCACGGGACAGAAGTTCCTGTGCTCGCGACCCTCCCAGACCCACTCCACCCCTTATCACCCCCTTAAATAGACTGGTTAATGTCAGTAAGGGTTGCCTGAGTTCTGTGAGCCGCTCTAACAAACTAATCAAACCCGAAAAGGGGGTCATGGGAACCTCTGCTCCCTGACCCAGTAGGTCAGAAGCACAGGGGACAACCTGAATTTGCGGCTGGCACGGGGGAGTCTCATGGGACTGAGTCTTTACATGGGTGAATGGTGTCAGAACTGAGTGTGGCTGCAGGACACCCAGCTGATGTCAGAATTAGCGACTAGAAGTGATAGAAGGGTCTGTTCTATGTGCGAGTAAAGGAGATTCGCAGAGAAAACCTGGGTTTTCCTTACTCAGGACGCAGACAAAACAGTTTTTCCAATTTATTAGGCCATCCCAAGATAACCAACTTCCGCCAAATTTATTCCCTGTATTGAACTAACAATTATGTTGAGAAATAAAACCAAACAGGAAAACCATGTTAGAAAATGTCAATGTGAAAATAAGAAATCGAGTCAGAACTTTAATTGCATTTCAGAAGAGCACGTGCCAGGCCCGCCGTGTGCGCCCCTGCCGCTCTCCTGCCTTGGAGGCTCTCTGAGCAGGGGTCCAGCCCGAGGGCGCTGAGCTGGGTGGCGCTTCCTTAGCCACCTGCTTCCACCTGCTGCCCAGGCCAGCGTTCCGGCGAGCCTGCAGGGTCCAAGGAAGCAGTGAGGAGGACTGGGCTCTTGCTAGTGTGGAACTTAGGGCACGAGAGGGTTTACCCAAAAGGGGCTGATGAAAATGGGCAGCACTTAAAAATGACATTTACATGAAAATCACATTAAAACAGCAAGGGATGGGGCGCCTGGGTGGCTCAGTCGGTTAAGGGTCTGCCTTTGGCTCAGGTCATGACCTCAGGGTTGTGGGATCAAGTCCCCTGCTCAGTGGGGAGCCTGCTTCTCCCTCTGCCCCTCCCCCGCTCTTGCGCACGCTCTCAAGTAAGTAAATGAATAAATCTTTAAAATAAATAAAACAGCAAGGGAACATGATTCCACCGAGAAGAAAAAGGTCACGAAAAGTGAAGAAAGAGTAAAGGTGACGTTCACGTCAGAAGCCCTGACAGAACCAAGAAGAACAAACACACAGAGAAAGCTCCCTTCCCTCAGCCCCCTTCAGAAGGAACCACGTTCAACCTCGAGTGTCTCCCTTCTAGGAGAAAGCTGTGCAGACCAGCAAGGACACCTCTCCACACCTGAAGGCTCCTTTCCACGGGAGAGCCCAGCGGGCCGCTTGCCTTGCTCCATTCACTTAGCAGGAACCCTCACTCCTGCCCCCCGCGTGGCAGGCAGAGCTCCCAGTTATCGTCATATTTGACTTTGTTTATGGTGTAAGCAGCTAATTCCACCCATCTTTTCTCTTACGGCTCCTAGGCCATCTTTCCTGACGAGACCCTGTATTCCCTCTTGACTCGCGGTCCTGCATCCAGGGACAAGGCTGCAGTCTTCTGCCGGGCCTCCCCAACCACACCCGATGCCCCGAGTCCCCAGGACTCTGCCACTCACCAGAGTCCACATGTGGAGGCTCACAAGCCCGGAGCCTGCGTGGGCTGGACGCCATCAGATGCCACCCTGGGAAAGCTGGGATATGCGGGCAGTTACTGCCCTGGCTTAGCACGCAGACACCACACTAAGGGTGAGCCGTGCAGCCAGGGCTCAAGTGCGGGTCCCCAGAGCCCTGCTCATGCTGGACAAATGACCCAAGCCACAGGCAGTTTCCCCGGGAGGTTGGCCTGGGGTCCATTCTCAGACCGGGACCTCCAGGGGCTAATACTGCCAAGGACCCACCTGCCTCCCTGGGGAAGATGGGAGGGCCTTTCCAAATTCCCTGCTACAGCCTCGGACCGGATAAAGATGGGTCCACTGGCTTGTCAGCAAGGGTGAAGAGGTACAACCCAGTTCCTAGGTATTCCCACCCACAGACCAGGAAGCTGGCCTTGACTTACGGGCTAAGGGCTGCTGATGACGGGCCAGCCAAGTGGTGCAGGGCTGGCAGGAAGCTGGAGGCAGGTGGGAGGGCGGTGGCCGAGACCACCGTGGGCCACGTGCAGTAACCAGCCAGGGAGCCAGGTGCTGGGATGGCCTGCAGGGGACCTGGGGGCGCGTAGTGGTGGTGGTGATGCACGGAGGGCTGCTTCTGCCTCTGGCTTGCAGGAGGACAAGGGGAGCCCGCTGCAGGTCCTCAGCACAGCACACACACCAGCCCATTTCAATGGGGCGGGGCGGGGGGCGGGAAGGAGGGAGGGAAGGAAGGAAGGAAGGGAGGGCCAGGCTCCAGCAGAGTTCATTTGGCTCTAGGAAGCAGCTTTCTGGGCCCCAGATTGCATAACTCATTCCTCATCTAGGTGGGAATGGGGAGTGCCAGGGGGCTTCACAAGCAGATCACAGACCCAGGAGTCAGAAATGTGCTTTTCAGAGTTACACAGATGCATGGACTTCCAGAAGAAAAGCCACCCAGGTCCTCTGGTTTTGATTTGGGTGGCCTCCTTTACCTCCGTGCCTGTCCCCAGCTGAGCCTACCTGAGGGGTGGGATGCAGGGGGGCGGCCTGTGATCCCCCGGAGGGCAAAAACGCTGATGAGGGCAGGGCTTTGAGCATCAAGTTTTGCATAATGATCTGGTGCATCTGTGCGTTCTGCATCAGCATCATCTCCACCATGTCTGAAAGGAGAGGTTCCATCACTCACAGACCACACGCTGATCATCAGGCCTCTCCTGAGGACAAAGCTTTAGAGCATCGCCGACGCAGACACACACTCAGGGCTCCACGAGCAAGAGGCCCTATGTGCACAGGAAATGGGGATGTGTTCTGAGGTGCAGAACTTCTGGGTTGGAGGATGTGTGTGCTTTGAAGTGTTGTTGGGGGTGCCCACTGGACTCCCGAGAGGCTGCAGCCCTTCTCACTCCTGCTATATGGGGGCCCCCGAAAGCGTGTCCACGTCCTAATCCCCAGGACCTCTGAATGTGATCTTACTTAGAAAGTCTTTGCAGACATAATTAAGAATCTTGAGATGAGATCATCCTGGATTATCCAGGTAGGCCCTACATCCAAGACAAGTGTTTTGTTTTTGTTTTTTTAAAAGGTTTTTTTTTTTTAAGATTATTTATTTATTTGACAGAGAGAGAGCAAGAGACGGAACACAAGCAGGGGGAGTGGGAGAGGGAGAAGCAGGCTTCCTGCTGAGCGGGGAGCCCGATGTGGGACTCGATCCCAGGACCCTGGGATCATGACGTGAGCCGAAGGCAGACGCATAACAACTGAGCCACCCAGGTGCCTCAAGAAGACAAGCGTTTTTATAAGAGAGGCAAAGGGAGGTTTGAGACCGCAGAGGAGAGGCCCCATGGCGATGGGGCAGAGATGGGACCCACGCGGCCACAAGCCAGGACCACCTGGAGCCACCGCTGGACCAGACAGGAAGGACCATCCCTGGGAGCCTCTGGAGGGAGCCTGGCCATGTGACACCTGGATTTCAGAATTCCGGCCTCCAGACAGAGAAAGTACATTTCCGTTACTTTAAGCCCCCAGGCCTGTGGTACTTTACTAGGAATTTCATCTCTGAAACCAGGAAACCAAGCTCTTCACCAACTCTGGATACAAAGAAACACGTTTTTGTCAGTGTGAGAGGTAAACATGAGTTCTTCCCACAGTCTCGAGGCCCTGGAAATCAGGCAGCCCCAGGGCTCTGTCAGCCTCACCAAGGGCAGGCAGGTCCCTAAAACCACTCACACTCCCAGCCAAAAAAAGGGAGCCTGGAGACTTGGGCAGGGGCTCCTGCAGGGGTGTCCAGGAGCTGAGTAGGCAGCAACCTTCCCACCGGAATCGGCTCTTTGTCTCCAGCCAGCCCTCCTTGCAGATTCTGGGCTACCCAAGCCTCCATAATCACATTGGCCAATTCCTTAAAATACATCTTTCTCTCTAGACATGTCCTGTTGGCTCTGTTTCTCTAGAGACCCTTGATCAAAAGATTTTGTCCCAGGCCTGAGAGCAATGGGGTGGTGGGGGGCACAGAGCCAGATTCCTACAGCAATACAGCTGTGGGAACTCTTATCCCCGCAAGACAAGAACATGGAGAGGCTGAGTCTGGCAGCCCTGTTCTGGGCAAAGACCCTTGAGGAGACCCATGTGGGGCCGGTGTAACTGCCTCAGGATAAGGGGCACACGTCGGTGTTGTGGGGAAAGGGGGTCTTCGATAAGTGGCACAGGGCCAAACCGATATCAAGATAACACCAGTCCCTAACCATAGCTCACAAAATCTGTTCCAGGTGGGTCGTAAATCTCAATGTGAGAAGTCAACCAAATCGTAGAACATCTTCATGACCTTGAGTGGCTAAAGGCTTCTTACACAGGACAGAAAAGGCACGAACCCATAAAGGAAAAAGCCTGGAAAACAGAACTTTATTAAAAATTAAGAACTTGTGTTCATCCGGAGACACCACAAAGAGAGCGATTTGCAATATGTGTATCAAAAAGGACCCATGTTAGAATACACGAGGAATTCCTAGAAACCAATGAGAGAGGCAGATGACCTGGAAGAAAAATGGGCAAAATACTTGAAAGGGCACGTCACAAAAAGGGTATTCAAACAGCCAATAAATATATGAAAAGGTGACATGCAAATTAGAATTGGAATGAGCTGCCATGCCCACCAGATTGGCAAAGATGAAATAGTCTAAGGACACCGAGGGTTGGTGACTTGCTGCAAGCAATTCTTGTTCACTCCTGTGGAGTGTCAACAGGTACTACTGACGAGAGAAACAAAGGAAGAGAAATGTAGCTTCAGTTCAATCTCCTTACAGCTTGCAGCCCACTGATAGATTCCAGAGACGTGCAGAGTGTAACCTTCCCTCAAGGAACTGCCTTAGTGCCTTCATGTTGAAAAGGAACCTTATCTTCACAGCAGCTAGCCCCTCAAGGTCCTGAAAGCCTCGCTTCCAGGTTCCTTAGAGACTTACGCTGTCCCTAACCCCCATTACTTAAAAAGTATTTAATCAGTCGCTCCTCACAATCCCAGTGCAGCTCCTTCTGCCCACGGGTCCCGTCCCCGGGCTTTAATAAAAACACCTTTTGCACCAGAGACGTCTCAAGAATTCTTTGACTGTGGGCTTGATGATCCCACATCACTACCACTTTGGAAAACTGTCTGGCAGTATTTCCTGACCCAAACATCTCATCCCTAGGCATAGGCCCCACAGAAATGTACATGTCCATTCCCTAGAAGATGAGACCGTGTGGTGGCTCCACAGCTCCAAGAGAATGGGCCCAGAATTTGTGGGATAATAATATGATTGAATAGTGTGGTCAGCTGAATGATGGACCCCTAGCATGTACATACCCTAATCCCTGGAACCTGTGAATTGTGTTTTGTTATATGGTGAAAGGTGATGTTGCAGATGTGATTAAGAGTCTTGGATGGAGGGGCGCCTGGGTGGCTCAGTCGTTAAGTGTCTGCCTTTGGCTCAGGTCATGATCTCAGGGTCCTGGGATGGAGCCCTGTGTCGGGCTCCCCGTTGGCGGGGAGTCTGCTTCTCCCTCTCCTTCTGCCCCCAACTCATGCTCTCTCTTGGTCTCTTGCTCTCTCTCAAAGAAATGGGATCTTAAAAAAAAAAAGTTTTGGATGAAAGCAACCCAAGTGTGCATCAACAAACAAAGGGATAAAAGAACGTGGTCCATCCATCCCGTGGAGTATTATTCAGCCTTAAAAAGGCAAGAAAATCTGCCACCTGCCACCATATGATGAACCTCGAAGACGTTCATTATTCCACATGAAATAAGCCAGTCACAGAGGGACAAATACTGTATGATTCCTCTCATAGGAGGTACTTAAGTCATCAACTTCAGAGAGAATAGGATGGTGGGTGCTGGGGGCTGGTAGGAGGGGGACCTGGATACACAGTTTCAGTTTTGCAAGATGGAAAGTTCTAAAGATCTGTTGCACAACAACATGGATCCAGTTAACACTACTTAAACATGTTTAAGACGGTAAATTTTAGGTTTTCTAACCACAATTTATTTTTAAGATTTATGTATTTATTTGAGGGGGGTGGAGAGAGCACACATGCAGGGGGGTGGGGGCAGAGGGAGAGGCAGAGAGAATCCCAAGCAGACTCCCCACTGAGCACGGAGCCCGACGCAGGGCTCGATCTCACAACCCTGAGATCACAACCTGAGCTGAAACCAAGAGTCGGACCCTTCACTGACTTTGCCACCCCGGCACCCTTACCACGATTTTTTAAATTAATTAATTTTTGAAAAAGAATCTTGAGGTGGGGAGATTATCCTGGATTATCTGGGTGGGCCCAACATAATCACAAGGGTCCTCAGGAAGCGTGGAGAGAAAATCAATACCAATTTAGATCTGAATATCCAGCAACACTGGTATTTAAGAACAAGGGGAAATAAAAACATTTGCCAGGAGGCAAACACTGAGGGAGCTTCAAGAGTCTGTTCTAAAGGAACTTGGAAGGGGCTTATTTCAAGATAATAGAAGACAATTCCAGAAGGGTGGTCTGAGATACAACAAAGGGTGAGTAGGATGTCAGGATGATTTCTGTAGGAGATCATCCTGGCATCTAGTTTGGGAAGTTGTTCTAAAAGAGAAAGAGCAGTACTGACTGGGTGGGAGGAGGGGGGCGACGGTGCTCCAAGCTCCTTCCATCCCTGGGGGCAGGGGGCTCCAGATCCCACGCGTTCAACTTCATACTAAAGCCCAATGAATGGAAAAAAACGAATAAATGAACAAAAAGCAGAATCAGACCTACAAATGCAGAGAACGGTCTGATGGTTGCTGGTGGGGCAGGTGGGGGTGGGGTTTGGGGAAAGTGGGTGAAGGGGAGAGATTGGGTTTACCAGTTACGGAGTGAGTCACAGAACAAACGGCACAGTATGGGGAATACAGTTTATGATACTGCAATTTATAAAATGCTCACGAGCTCTCCAGGGTGGTTGTTAGGGTACTTCTGAGAGTTCCTATTTTTACCTTCAAATATTTGATCAGGTCAGAATTTGTTTGGATGGGGCGCCTGGGTGGCTCAGTCGTTAAGCATCTGCCTTCAGGGGGCGTCTGGGTGGCTCATTCGTTAAGTGTCTGCCTTCAGCTCAGGTCATGGTCCCAGGGTCCTGGGATCGAGCCCCTCATCGGGCTCCCCGCTCGGCGGGAGGCCTGCTTCTCCCCCTCCCACTCCTCCTGCTTGTGTTCCCTCTCTCACTGTGTCTCTCTCTGTCAAATAAATAAATAAAATCTTTAAAAAATATATTTTTTGTTTCGGTAGAGAATTTTATAAACCCATAACAGTATTAATATGGAACACTTACCTTCCTTAATACTTCCTGCTCTTTGAGTGGGGAAGGCCTGGAGAGGGGGAATCTGTGTGATGAGGGGCTGCTGAGGTAGCTGTTGAATGATGGTGGCAGGAGGCTGGGGGGCCTACGAAGAGCCAGATGATTAGTTCCCTAAACGTGCCCTAGGAGACCATGTTCTACAGCATCCATCCACCCACCCATCTATCCATCTGTCTACCCACCCACCCATCCACCCACCCAT